CAGGCAACACTTCAGTTACTTGTAAACAGAAACGGAATTATCAGTATTTCGTGATCTTACTGCTTTGTCCTAGGCGAAGATATCACTTTGTATTGCCTGCAGCTTTCATATTGCCAGACTGAAACCTACAGAAGTTACGCACTGAAATAATGTATAAACAAACTTGCAGTATGATGGCTGAAAAAAAAATCAGGTATTTTAGATCTCATCAGGAAAATTAGATGCAGCACTATTTATATATGGTGTATTGCTTTACAGACTTCCATTTATTAAGAAGTACTTGCTGTACATTCTGTTTGTGCACGTTATGGAATCATTTGCAGATAGTCCAGGTATGCTTTGCAGTATTCAAGTAACCAACCATGATATAAGATGTTATATAGATGTTAATTACAATGTTAACATATACAGTGGTAATTCTGATGTGAATAATTTTTTTATAGTGCAGATAGTATCTGTATCGTCACTTAGATGTGTATAGTATTAAATTTTGGCAGCCAGCCCCCGCACTTTCAGCTAAAATTTCTTAACTAGGGAAAAATATTAGAATGCAGCATACTTAGCTAAATACATAATCTTTGCACAGAAAAGAGAAAATTTATGAGCGGAATCTCTGCACATGTTGGCTTTCTCATAAAATTTGATATCCTTCATGTTCTAAATTAAACATTATAGTATGTTTTAAGTAGAAAATTTTTGTTCAATTTTTTTATAAAAATGACTATGTTTATGAGGATTTTTCATAAAAAAGCGATTTTTAAAGCAACAACTACAAAATTATTATTGGTCAACGAAATCTTTCAGAAAATTTATACAGAGTCAAACAAAGTGTTGAAACCATGAAATGCGAAGACAAATGTAATTGAAATCTAAGACGTTTAAACACTCTCCTATAGGCAAACTCACAACAGAGGTCCAAAGATGTTTTTATAGAAACATATATCTTAAACCAAAGTCATTTCGCGAGTTCACCTGCGCAAGATTTATTCTCAGATGAAAACTTATTCTCATGAAGCTTACATTTTTCTAATAAATTATAAAATGTTAGTTTCCGATAAATTTACGATAAAATATATGCATTTTCTGCATCACATTCTAATGCAATCTTTCTCAGCGTTTTTGTCCAGGCAGAAAACGTGAAATAACTTTAAACGTATCTTGAAAATCCTTTGCATAAGTATTATTATTACAGCTAATAATATCCTAGAATGATTAAGAAGCGACAGGTAAAAATAATTCAGTTAATTACTAATGCTCTTTTGGAACTGATTATAATTTTTATTATTTTAATGATTTTTTTTTGCTTGAGATAAATTTATTAGGTTCCTACTATTCTCAGATTAAGCGTATCATTTACAACAGGATGCGCTGAAGAAAGAGTTTTCTTTTATTCGATGGGGAATCGAGGAATTTTTTTATTCACTTCATAGTGGAATGGAAAATTGAACTATCTTATATATATATATGTGAATTATTATTATATTTAATAAATATAGAAATGTTTCTAATGTTTTTCCATGCGCTCACATGAGATTTGTATTTAATATTTTCACGCTGTTTCGGGTAGTCTGAATTCAACAGAGTGGTAGTCCGTTTTTTTTTCCTTTGAGTCTTTTGTTGCATAGTAAACCGGCATTTTTATGACCTTTTAATTTACGTACGTTTTTATGAACCATTAGATTGGTCCTAAAAGATTTGTGCCGTTTTTATTTACTAACTTCTTTTTTATTAAACTAACTCTTTTTTCGCTTCGTATGAATGCGTAAATTCGAGAACCTATTGCGTCAAAAATCTATCAGTCTCAGGGAGCGGTTTTCAACCTTTTGACTAACGCATACCATCTAAACAAAAGTTGAAAACCTTTTAGTTCCACCACTACAAAGTACTACTGCCACCACCAACCACTCTTGAACAAAGCTCAGATCGCATAAATTTACGAATGTTAGAGAAAAAACTCAGGATGTTGCGGTTTTAATTTTTGAATTTAATAGTTAAAAATACTTTGCTTCTTTGCGTACCACCGGTTGAGAAGCACTGATCTAAGGTGAGTTAACCCGCTCTGAAACCATGAAATTTCTGTCTGTAGAATCCAGTTAATGAATCCCTGGTATATTCAGCATCCAAAAAAACCACATAACTGGCGTATGATCGAAATATTGCCAATGCTTTGCACATGTTCATTTTCTTGGCTTGCGGTCACATATATGCCATGGAAAAAATTCTCGTGCTGTGGCCTGTAAATGTTTGTATGCAATCACAGACAACCACCATATGTAACCATACATTCACCATAAAATTAGGAGACGATGGCTAACAGGCAACACCCTGTCAGTAATTACGAGATAGCTATATTAAAAACGAATAACTGATAAACAGCGTATTTTCCATAAAGTAAATTGATCAAGTCTAACGTAATGCACTTTAACCAAATAAAGGTTTGTTTTCAAGATAACCAGTTTATTCTTGTCATTTTCGACAGTCTGAATACTGATGAAAATAGAAAAACACATAATCATGTTAAAAAAATGTTAAGCTACTAAACATATTGACTACAGTTAAACCTATCGGAACAACTGACTTTTAAATATGCTGAAACCATTAAAACCTCAAAGACATCGGACGTTTTCGCATTAGCTCAAGAAGGGTCCAGTATTTACTTCATTTGCAGCAACCAGACTTCAGATTTTGTGTGATCCAGTTCTAAATTCGCTGAATTACACAGTTGCAAAAGTGATGGCTGTTGTGGCTCCTCACCATAAATGCTGAAGGTATGAATCTTTTTTAACATATATGATGTTATTCCTTATTTTTATAAGACAGTCTATGGGGGGGGGGCAAAGTAGTAACACTCTCAGAAACTTTTCCGCGGTACACCCTCAAGAAGTTCAGGAGGCTTCTCATGCTGGTTAGAACTGGTTTCATCTCTCCTTCCAGGTCCAGGTGTCGGAACTTTTTCATTAGCATCTTTATCCCACATCCACCGAAACTTACGACGCTTCGGAACATTTAAATAGTTAAATTTTTTCAACGTTTTAGGCATTTTTGGATTAAAACGTTTTTATAAATAAGGCTGACTTTTTCGATGGTCCTATATAAAATGTTAGCGTGTCTGCTTTGGAAGATTGCAATGACTGCAGTTTTTTTTATTATTAAATCTGGAATTAAATGTTATAAATTCTATGAAATCTTTCAAATGCCAGCGGTACTAGTCACTAAATCTTTTATATAAATATGAAAATTCTTGTAAATAAGAAAAGTGGTGCAAAAGTTCAATATAAAATGTTTATATGGAAAAAATATATAAGATGCAATTAATTCCAATAACCCACCTATTCGTAAAATTGAGAGCGATGAGAGCTAGTTTTAAGGTCTTCTTTTAAATGAGAGGTGGACTGAGAAGTGCAGTAATACCAGACATTTATAAAATCTGTAAAATTTCATTTGTTGTTGTTGTTGTCTTGTCCATGAATTTTACAGAAGAATGGTTGGCAGAACCTCAAGGAGGTGTAAGTCTTCATGATGAGATAATCAGAAATATGCAGTTATAAACCTCATACACTTCAATATGTTGCATGATCAATTAATTAATAAGCATAATAATTATTGATTCATAGTAGCTGGATTTTTGATTGTTTACAAATTTCTCAACTATAGATAAAGAATGATTTTTATTATGAAAAGAAACTAATTCATTTTTATTATTTATTTAATGATGTCTGAATATTGAAGATTTTAGATATATTGGTAAATTTTAACCAAATAAGTTTCTTTTGTATGAAAAATTAAAAAAAAAATTACAGACATTTAACAGTTATGTTATTCAAAATAAGCAATAAATGCAAGTCAAAATCAATTCTTATGAACTTAATTTTGACTGCCATTTCTATATTAAGATTACCTTCCTCTTTTCCTTCATTAAACAAAAGGCATGCATATGCTGCTAGGTCAATAAGAAAACAAAAGCTTTAGAATGAATGATAATCTAAAGATTGAAGCAGAAAGAATTTACCAAAAAATGCACAGGAAAACATAAATATCAGAAACATTTAAAGAATATAACAAAAACGCACAGGAAAACAGTAACACTAAAATATATGCAGCTATACATCTGCTTTAAAAATAACAAAACAAAGTCGGATATATTTCATTTTAAGAAATAAAGACAAATGATGAAACAGAATGACAAATTATAAGTGTTTTAGTTTTCTTAAATGTGCTACAGAAAAGTATATTTTTTTCTTTCCTAACAAGTTCTATAAAAAATAAAATCTGATAATGATTACTAGTATAAAACAGAATTATCGATAATTTTTTTAATTAGCAAAGCAGTGTATAAACATGAAATATACACACTTATCAATCTTAAAAATATTTATAATAGTAATTTTATGAAAAGTTACATGCATTACTTGTATACAACATTCATAATCATTAAAAATGAAATCAGTAAACCCATAAATATATGTTTAAAAATCTTTTAGAAAAATTGAAATAGAAATAAACTTTTGATTTTCATAAAACTTGAACCATGACAAATAACCCTTTTTTTAATTTCTAAATTTTTGTATTGAAAGAGAAGAGTAGAAAAAGATTTCCAAACAAAAATAATTTTTTAATTTCATTCATTTTGTTTAAGAATGATAATCAATTAAAATTAGTGATTCTAAATTATGTTTGAGACATTATAATATTCTAATTATAATGAATTATATTTATAATGGCACTTATTTAAAAACATATGTCAGGATAATAAATTTTAAGTACACTGATACTTAAAGTTGTTTAATTTAAATAAAATACAATAAACTTCAAAACTATAAACAGAAATTGAAAATAAATAAAATAGTATCGTCTGAAAGAAATTTTCACACAAACAGTTGATTAAATATAACAAACTCGTAAGCCGGTAAACTGCCATGACAGTGGTGATAATAAAAAATACGTTAAAGAATGCAATATACTACGGAAGTTAAAACTTTAAGAAATCAAAAGTAACTCACTGTTTTTGCAGTGATTTCACATTCGAAAAATTCTGAAATTCGCAGTAACCTACAATTGACAAGATCCGCGTCCGCACTGCAGTGGAAAACCGATCAACCTTCGCCGCCACTCGCGTTTGTTTTTGCTGTTGCTGCAAACTACAGCTAAGCCGACGTTGCCCTCTCATTCAAATGAAATACTATGATACTCATGATGTGGCTCGACTGATACAAACAAAAGGAAGCTAAAAACTTTCCAAATGAAATGCATAACTTCTCTTATAACATGTTCAAGCAATAAAAATGAGTAGATTAAATTAAAAAGAAACTAATTTGCGAAATTCAGTTACAAAGCATCATAGAGAAAAAATCGAAAGCACTTCTCCGCTCTGTAGATTTCAACGCGCATTATTTTGCAAGCGCCATCTATGAGCGTTTTTGCTAAACATGATTTTAAAAGAGAAGGTTTCGGTTTTCCTTAACCCTAAATAAGGAAAAAGTAATTATATATAACTGTGCCTCTCATAAATTCCCGTTAATTATTCAAAATATGTTTTGAATGATTACAAATGATATTCTCGCCTAAAGTTAAAACAGGTATTCAAGTTCTTTCAAAATCGACAATCTTATTGATGCGAAAATGTTCTCGGAGCAGTTTTTTTTTCTTTAAATGTAATGTAAACATATATTTAGATACTAGTTAAAAGTACTATTAGGTTATTATTCTGATATTAATATTTTGAAAGGAAAACGTTAATGATAATTGACTAACATGAATGAATTAGCATGAAAACTCCTAGTCCTAGTAATAAGTCATATTAATGAAAGTTTAAAGTATTTTTAATTATCAGAAATAACTGTGAACCGAAATGCTAAAACTCAACAAAACATTTCGTAAGATGTATATATACTTAATGTTTCTAATAATCAACAAAGGTTTCGAACGTTAGTTTTACATAATAAATAAGCATTTATCTAATAAAAATCAACATCAATTTTAAATTGTAATTTAATGACAATAGTAGCATATATTTGCATTTAATTATTACAAAAATGTTTTTTCATATTTAGAAAGTTTAAATTATAAATAAATCTAATGGAAATGATGTAATTGTTTGCCCATTTTTTTTAATTCGATCATAAAACAATAACACCTAGTCTTTTCAACCAACAAAGACAAATGTGATTTTAAAAACGAAATCGAAATATTTAAAAAATGTCAAAATTCGACGTTCTTGATACTTATTTCAATACAGAAAGAGGTTTGGATTTCGAATGGAATCATTTGAGAATTATGAATCTAAATTATAATAATTAGTTTTTTTAATTATGAGAAAAAGAGATTACGAGTCCACTGTAAGAACATAAAACATATAAGATTAATGCCGAAAAAGATTGAGAATTTTGTCATCCATTAAAATACATACTGACACACTTCTTCCTGTTATACTTTTCACTGATAATCAAAACAGTGGTTTTTTGTGTTAATAGTACATGAAAGAGATGCACACCAATTTCAGATTCAGAATTAGGTAAATATTTTGCCAATAGCAGAATATTTTTACCTTTTGAAAGAAACAAACCCTGGAGATATCTTTCTTGAAATCTGCAATTTTTTTATAAAATCAATATCAATCTAAGATTGAATTTGATCTAATTTTAAAATTCCGATAGTAGTTTTTTTATCAAATATTTTTTGGTAATGCTTTTTCTATAAGAAGCTTATAAAATTGACATAATACAATTTAAATTTTAGGGTAAAAGCGAATAATTTGTATTAACAACACAAAACAGGGATTGTCAACAAAATATGTCATGTTATGAAAGCAGCGCATCAGACTGTTTTCTCGGCTGCTATAATCGAGAAAATAACTATAACCTATCTAATCACTACAACCTATTTAGGTTAAATAAGAGAATTATCAATATAGAATTCACTATTTGTAAATCAAATTTGATTAATGTTTATCATAACACACGGGAAAAAAAGCGCGTTTAAATTTGAAATTCGACAAAATTATATTTTAGATTGAATCAGTTTTACAGAAGAATTGTTTGCAACTCAAGACAGATTGAGGTATGTTCTTGAGAAAGGGTGAACTTGTGTCTAAATAGAGATGACCTCTGAATATTAACAGTTCGGTGGCGGTTCGAATCTTGGCGAACGGGCTATGTTACACGGGCATCTTCTTGCGTTTTACTATGCACTAATCCGTTTTCCTTAGAAAGTTCTCTACGAAGACATACTTCCACTTAGCCACAAAGCCCTAGTGTGTTTTGCCGTATTCGATTAACACGCAATCAAACTTTGAGGAATATGTACCAAACAGATTTATCGTTACACCAGATCCATTTTAAACCTATAATATAATGATTTTATCCCAGTCGATTCGATTTAAAGGAATAAATTATAATTACGGATATATTGTCTCATGCATATATGCCGTGCAATAAACAAACTTTTAAGGTGTTCTTGTAATCATCGTCTTGAATAGTATATAAACTCTAATGATAAACTTATTAAAATTTACGGCAAAATATATTCCCAATAATATTGCTAAAAGCCCTAATAATAATAATAAAAAATAAATCTCTAATAATGCTGAAGTTGCGCAGCCGCAGGTTCAGCATTATTTAGCATATTGAATGCAAATACGAAATTATCAATGAAAAAAAAAAAAACGATTCATGCGTTACAGGTCTCCAAGAAAAATAAGAAACTACGCACACGCAGTTTGGCAGATTTTTAGTCCAAAGGAGCAATTTGCCCTGAAGTATTATTATTTCCGGTTTGGCATTTTGCGTTGGTTCACTATAAATGTCCGATTCACATTTCAAATTGTTGCCACTAAATATTATCGCCTTGTATTATATTTAAAGAAATTAAATAATGAAGAATCTGTATAAATGTACGTATGTTTCTCGCACTGTGATAAAACAACGGTACATAGAGCCATCAAATTTTGAACAACGTAATTCTCACCGAATATGGGCATCTGGAAGCCCAAATTTAGAATTTGTTTTATTATCTGTTTCATATTTTGTCAAACTTTAACGAATTTTTGATTAACAAACTCAGCGATTTAAAAGCGTACAATGGCAACACTCTACAGAGAAAAACAAAAACCTTTTTATCTCCAGGGCGCGGAACTGTGTATCGGAAATTCTAAAGATATGCTCCTTTTAAAATTATTTTGAGATATTGCTGTTGAACTGAATTTTATGGTTTAAGTGCGAAGAACATGATATTTAATAAATAAAGATACCACACAAAACGTTAAAAAACGCCCCTTTGGACGTAATTTAATCTGAAACTTTTCAGATTTATTATTATTATTATTATTTTAATTTGCAGAAGTAAAGATTATATGCCGTATAAGGCGTGAAAAAACTGTTGTTATTTATAAGTCTGATTCTTCTTCAAAGAATGAAAAGAAAGATATCTTAACATTAAAAACGTGTATTTCATAAAATCTTATATACAATTGAAAATTTTTGTCTTAGTAATTTAAAAATTATGACCCAAAAATAAAGATGAAACTCCTAATGAATCGGAATGAATGTACGCATAATTTGAGCTCTTAACAAGCCGAACGGATTAATTCTCTTTTCTACATTGCAACATTTTTGCGAGGAGAAATAGCATACAACTTTCGGTATCAATTCAATATAAAATATCAATTTAAATATAGCCTAATTTGAATCTAAATTGAATGTATAATAAAAATGTTGCCTTAATCTGAAAAACGTAGCAGTGTGATGAATGATTCCCGAAATTGAACTGGTATGTTTTAATTTTATATTTCAAATTACATAAATAAAGAACATTTTCATCTAAATTTAGAGCACACTTGTTGAAGAATTACAATAAATTATACATATCGAAACTATAACTTATTATATATCGGATATTATACTTTTTAAACACACTTCAGTTTAGGATATGTTACTGAGAACTTTTTAGTTTTATTCATTATTGATAGTTACGTTTTTGTTAGCAATAAAAACTGCAAATATGATGAAATGCTTAAAAGAACTGAAATATAAGGAACTCACCTTCCGGAATTGGAGAAGGAGGACAAGAAATAATCCGATCTTCATCCATACGGATTCAACTTTTGAAATTATACATCTAACAGAATCTTCACATAACTAAGAATAAAAAGATACGATTCTGAATCATATCCAAACAAAAATGAAGCATGAAAAGGTTGATAGACTTCAAATCAAAGACGTAAAATTATTTCTGCAGCTTTTGTGATTAATCGTACCAATCCCAGGGCAACCGGATAAAAAAGTCAGAAAACGAAATTCTACTCAACTTGGATAATTCTTAGAACAAGTTTCGTGTCTCGTACGAAATATTCGGACGCTACTGATTAGATTTCGAATATGATTTCCTGTTTTCCGATTCGTTGGGTACCATGCCTTTTCGTGCTGCATTCTGCCATTCGCTCCTCTCATTGGATATCACAGAAACTGCTCAAGTAGGAAAATTGCGTGAGAGAAATATTCCTCTGGTCACGCATTTCAAATTTTTTATGCGATTATCAAAGTTCCATAATCCAGAACAGATGACTGGAAATTATATTGACATTATTGAAAAAGTTGCTTTTCTATATCATCATCATCTCGTCAACAACTAAAATTGGTTTCAATTTAATCCATGAACAATCGATTCCATCATTGGCATATCAAGTTATATATCATTCATTCTTGTTACCCATGTGAAAAAGCACGGCATATTTAGGACAAATATAGATGCGGATACGTCTCTAATTGGGCATAAATCAGCATCATATGTTTTAAGCTTCTGTTTTAGTTCTTTATTTACCGGTTTTTGAACCGTAACATCCGTTGAAAAGCCGACTGGAATTTAAAGATAAATGCTCTTCTTTTTATAGGATTTTAAGAAACGTTAATGTTCCAAAGATACCAAATCTACAACTAATTTGAAGACTATCACATATTCGAAGTTCATTAGCTTTGGAAAAAAAAAGTATTTCATCCGATTTCGTTGTTGAAAAAAAATCATTTTTAAGAAAACAACTGCGCTTCCAATCATGAAACTTATTAAAATTTCATTACTAAAATTATATTCTGGTAGTATAATTGACTGACGTATTACATGTAATGATACACATTATTAGTCATATACACCGTATCTACAGAAGTCCTTATCCGGTCTTTATTTTGCAACCATTCATCGTAGACATATACTTCAATTACAAAAATATTTTAAATGACACACATATTCATGCTATAAGGTATTTCTCCCGCTTTCTTAGCATGCCTTCATGGTGTAGTGGTCAGCACACTCGACGCGTATTCGAGAGGTCCTTGGTACGAGGTCCATGGCATTGCTCAT